TAGAGGTTCAAAAATATGGAGCTTTCATAGTATCAGCAACATTTTAATCTTTTTCTCTTAAAAAAAACAAAACAAAACTCTATGCCTTTCCTGAAGAACTGATTTGATTTTTAAAATTAAATTTCATGTTTTTAAGAAAATGGACCATTAGAGTGGCTAATTTAATATGCCAAAGGGAAAATATTAGTGAAACAACTAGTGTTTTACTTTCAGTGATGTTTAGTCACCGCCTGCACATAGACACAGGAGACACAGCAGGTCAGTGGTCCCTTTCTTCGATAGCCTTGGCCTCCCTCTGGTGCTGAATTCCCCTTTCCCTTGAGTGAAAACCTGTTTCATCTCCCATTTGCTCCAGAATCTCCTACCTTCTAGGTTTGTTCCCATTCTCAGTTGGAGCGCTGACGGAGCAGGGGCCTGGGAAGAAGGGGCACATTTTCCTCTCTTAGGGGTGAGGATGGCTTGGAGAGAGGCAGTGGCTCAGCTCTGGAGCATGAGACTTCCAGGATGGAAGGTGGGCTCTGAGGTCCCCAGGGATCGCTTTACCTGTGGAAATATGTTAGAAATCATAGGTCAATAATATTTACAGTTGAATAAACTTCCCACACTGGCCTGGGAAAGTAAGCTTCTTTACGGGATGATTTCTGTGGATCAAACATATTTTGAATTGACTTACAAACTTTTGTTGTACCAGTTTGTCACTCTGTCTCTCCCTACACAAATCTCTTTGGGACCAGCACCTCCATCCACCGGCCACCTGGGTGAGTGAACTGGACAGCAGCCCAGATGCTTTACCCCTCTGCCCCCAAAATCCAGTCCAGGCCTGGGATGTTGCCCATCGTACTGTGGTGGTGTCTTCCCCTGCACTTGCCTGCAGAGCTGCGGTGCTGTGGTGCTACGGCTCCTGTCTGAGCAGTCTCCAGGCAGTATTAAGGCCATGTCCTAGCTCTCTCTTGAACCAGACTACCTTTCCCAGAGCACTGTTAAAACCTTGGCTCAGGCCACTGTCCCTTCTTGTCTGGCAGTAGCCTCATAAAGAGTCTGCCTGCCTCTGTTCCCGTCATCATCCCCTTTACTTCACCCCATCCTTCCACTCTCCCGCTGCAGTCAGCATGTCATCCAAAGCCAGATGTGGCACACAGGATCGTGGCACACCTGTCCTGGGCACCACGTCGTGACTCCCTGCTGCATCCTTTGTTCAGTCACAATTCTGTAACCTGACACCCATTCCTGGGGGGTGTCAGGACTGCATCCTCATTGCCTGGGCAGAGTAGATTCTCAAACAGGGTTTGTTGAATGAATATGTGAGCCTTTTCCTAATCTGGGGACCATCTCATTTTATAGTACCTATTTATTTAATTGCGTGTGTGTGAGATTACAGTAAGTCAGGGGAGGAGTGAGAGTTGCTAACTCCTGCCAGAATCTACTCTTTGGTGACACATATACAGATTAAAAAAATATATTGAGGTGAAATTCACACAACAAAATTAATAATTTAAAAGGGAACAATTCAGTGACATTTAACACAATCACAGTATTGTGCAACCATCACCTCTGCCTAGTTCCAAAACATTTTCATCACCCCCAAAGAAAACCCCATACCCATGAAGGAATTTTGCTCTCTGTGGCAACCATTGATGAATGTAGATGGTTAGTTTTAGCTGGGATAGGACTTTAAATCAGGCCTGGGTTTTTCGGATGACTAAGTAACTAAATGTTGTTTGAAGACGGTTCATCCTGAGTGTGTGTACCTCTTGGCTTCTAAGTGGGTTCAGTGCTGCTGTGATATGACTTGGAGCATGGTTGTAATAGTGAGTTAGAGTTTTATGTTGTGGACTTGAACTTGGCTAGGAGCATGTATCCTGCTGGCAGCTAGTTTTATAGGCAAACAAATGCCACAAACTCAGTCAGCTGTGTAAAAAGCTATAGCATGACTTAGAGTTTTAAAAACAACTCTTTATTTGAAATAAAAATATTTTATCCTGTAAGAATTATGTACTAGTTAATTGAGATTTTTGGAATACTTTAAAACTAGCCTTAGACTTGGGTTATATAATCTATATGACCTTGAATAAGAAAATGTTCTCTGGCCTGATTTCCTCAAGTGCAAAAATAGGTGGATTGAAATCTCTCTGGACTGCCTTAGTTAGTCCAAGCCATGCTGCTTGAATCTTTAGTCTTTTTAATTTCTTCCCTGTTATAAAAATAAATTGTCCTCATTAGAGAAAATTATCAAAATATATAAAAGGAAAAGGAGAGTGAAAATGGCCCCACTGATTAAAGGCAATCACTGTTACTGTTTTGGTATACTGGTGTACATCTTTTTTTTTTTTTTTTTTTTTTTTTTTTTAGTATCTATCTATCTTATCTGTGCCAAGTCTTAGTTGCAGCACTCGGGATCTTAGTTGTGACATGCATGCAGAATCTAGTTCCCTGACCAGGGATCAAACACAGGCCCACTGCATTGGGAGCACGGAGTCTTACCCATTGGACCACCATGGAAGTCCCTGGTGTACATCTTTTTATTAGCCATTTAAAAAAGCAGTATCAAATAACACACGAATATACTGATTATAAAAGATCCAAATGCTAAAGAAGGGTTGGGAATGAAAAATGAAAGCTGCCCATCATTACTCCTTGCACCTAGGGCAACCTTCATAGTAGTTTGTGACTTTTCTGGATCCTTAACCAAACATTTGGACAGGTAGAGAGGATATTAAAATTTTATTTTATTTAGCGTAATTGGGATAATTCTAGGCTTACTGTTTTGTGGCTTTTTTAAAAAAAACAACAGTATTTCTTGGACTTGTTTCCTTGTCAGTACATCAGTTTTATTCTTTTATTTTTTTATTTTTTTTGCGGTACGCGGGCCTCTCACTGTTGTGGCCTCTCCCTTTGGGGAGCACAGGCTCTGGACGCGCAGGCTCAGCGGCCATGGCTCACGGGCCCAGCAGCTCTGTGGCATGTGGGATCTTCCCGGACCGGGGCACGAACCCATGTCCCCTGCATCGGCAGGCGGACTCCCAACCACTGCGCCACCAGGGAAGTCCAGTTTTATTCTTTTAAAAAAACTTTTTTTATTAAATGGGTCAATCTACATAAAGTGCCCATGTTTTAAAAAAATTATTTATTTTTGGCTGTGTTGGGTCTTCATTGCTGCGCGCAAGGCTTTCTCTAGTTGAGGAGAGTGGGGGCTACTCTTCATTGTGGTGCCTGGGCTTCTCATTGCAGTGACTTCTCTCGTTGCAGAGCACGGGCTCTAGGCACACGGGCTTCCGTAGTTGTGGCTCACGGGCTTAGTTGCTCCACAACATGTGAGGGGTTGAACCTGTGTCCCCTGCATTGGCAGGAGGATTCTTAACCACTGTGCCAACAGGGAAGCCCAGTTTTATTCTTTTAAATGGCTGAATATTAGGAATTCTCTGGTGGTCCGGTGGTTAGGAGTCGGCACTTTCACTGCCGTGGGTCCAGATTTGATCCCTGGTCGGGGAACCTGCAATCCATGTGGCAGGGCCAAAAAATTAAACACTTAAAAAAAAAAAGATTGAATATTATTCTTGAAACGGATATATGATAATTTAACAACGTCTGTCTTTTTGATAAACATTTAAGGTTTTCTAAGTGTTCAGCATTGTAAATAATGCTGCAGTCATCAACCTTGAACATAGATATTGCATAGATATTTCTGGAGGATAAGTTTCCGTGAGTGTAATTGCTGGCTCCAAGAAAATGCCTGTTTCGAACCCAGTGCTAAGTTCCCCACCACAAAGGTCATTCCACCAAGAACATGATCTCCCTACACCCTGGTCAACACCAGATTCATTAATCTTTGTAATGATTTTAAAAAGATTTTAAATTTTCCCCTAATTTATGTTAAAAAATGAAATTATATTTTGTCACTTCTATAATTTTACATAAGGTTGAACAGCTTTTTTTGTGTCTCATTGGCTATTTTAATTTTTTTTTTCCTTGTGGATCATAATCCTTTGGGTTATTTGTATTACGGATTTGCAGGTGTTCTTTTTGAATTACTAATACAAATCATTGTTACATGTTGCACCGTGTTTTCTCTTACACCATCACTCATCTTTTACTTCTCCTTAGTGTATTTTATAACACCAGAATTTAAACTTTTTGTGTGGTTTCTCTTTTTTACCTCTGTATTTAAAAAATGTGTTGTTATTCATACATATAATTATATTCAGTATTATTTTTTTCAAGATAGATTCTTAAAAATGGAATCATTAGGCTAAAGACTAAAAATATTTTAAGGTTCTTACAGTCAACCAGGACCTAAGGAGACTGTGCTTTATCTCACCAAGGGTAGGCATGAAGAGGGGTCGTGACCTGCTGGGTGCCCAGGTGTTTTCTTTTGATTCTTAGGATAATTTCTAGTCCATACCTTTAGGGCCCAGAAACTCAATTTTGTTGGCATAGACAGCCCCTGCCCATCCACATCCCTCCAATGCCACAAGGAAAGGCACGCACCAGTGGGCTAGTTTATTTAACTGCAGTGAGAAATATAAGTAAGTTAGGGTAACAGCAGTGCGTAAATTGCTCTAACTGGCACATTTCTTCCCTGTAGGGACATAGAAGTAAGTTGTTATCAGGCGTTACCTGGGAAGGGATCTTAACCAAGGCAGATCAGAATGCCTCTCACCCGCTCAGAAACTGCAGCTTTGTCCTCTCAGCCAAGCCTCCCTTGTCCTTGGAGGCTGTTGGGGGTCCTACTCCGTGTAGTTCCTTTGGGTGTTGCATTTCTGGTTTCCTTCAGCTGACCCCCATTCATGCAGCCTCACTCTGTAGGACACATGGTACGTTTCTCCATCAAAAACACGTGTGATCACTGGTGCAGCGCACTTGTCAGGAGTTTCATTTAAGAAAACTTAAAACTTGGCTAATCTGATAAGTGAAAATGCAGTTTTTTTCTTTGGGGGAAAATTTTTTCATACAACAGAGTGTATAGGGTGAAAAAAGCCTCTAAATGAAGTGTTTCCCTTCAGGTGGTGATCAATGGAGGTGCCACGTCCAGCGGTGAACAGGACAATGAAGACACCGAGCTCATGGCAATATACACGACAGAAAATGGCATCGCAGAAAAGGTACTCCTTGCATCAGCCCCAGCCACTCACCCACCACTGCTGTCCCAGATTCCCTACAAGGAGGCGGATATCCATCTGGAGTTTTGTCTCTACCCTCCTGAGTGTGTGTGTGGGGGTTCTCTTTACAATGGAAATAGAAGGAGTGATGAGGAATAGAAGTTACTAATTTTTAATTGTTTTAATGGCAACATTAAAGTGAGAACCATGTAGAGGTCTTTATCTAGATATTTTTAAAACCTCAGCCAGGATGCCAGAGGGAAGTGTTAGGTCTGGGTGCTAATATGACTCAGACCCTGAGGGGGTCTAAAGCTTTCTGGGCATTACTTGCCTCATCTCTAAAATGGGTATAAAAATATTAGCATCTGTCTTAAAATTGTGAGTATTAAATGAAATAATATATATAAAGTTATTAGCATTGTGCCTGGTATATACCGTGTGTACAGTAAATAGGAGGCACCAGTAGATAGGTTATGTAGACTGTGAAAGTGCCTTGGACAAAGATCTTTGAAAATCATGCTGAAGTGGGAGAATCTTTTTTTCCACCTCATCCCCTCTGCTTGACAGGTCAGTCTGTGTGACCATAGAATGTGTGACCATGTTCATAGAGGCCAGGAGAGAGCTGCCTGGAGAGGGTCCACATGCCTTGATTTCTTTTTCTCTTTGTATCTGCCACTGTGCCTAACACATATGAAAAGTATGATAACATGGCATTTCCAGACTGCACTGCAGCCCTAAGACTTCTCAATTTCATTTGAGTTTCACCTGACAGACTTTTAAAACAGATTTTATTTTTACTATCATCAACTTATATAATGATGCATTATATTCTAGAACCACTGTACTGCACTGTAAACAGTATATACTGTGTATTCTAGTAACAGACCACTAGGAAGTTGATATATACAATTATAATACCCAGCTTGGGTATTAGTGCAGTAAGTTTACAGTGTAATCATGAAAATGATAAAGAACAAAAGAAATTATATTGAAATTCTTAAATCAAATTTTTGTGTCTGTGATTTCTTTCTTTTTCTCTTTCTCCCTTTTTTCTTTTTCTTTCTTTTCCAGTATGGGAGATGGAAATTTCATTTTTGGCTGTCTTGACCAATATGGCTGTTATTTGGTCAAGCTATGCTAAGTTTTTTGGAAGCTAGATTCATGCTGAGATGTTGAAATTCCTGCAGTGTTGGTTTCCCAGTTGCTCCTCAGAGCACAGATTGGAGCAGCCATGGTTGTGGCTGTGGTCTGCAGCAGAGACTCATTCCACAGGGCAGGATCTGGGAGGGGCCCACTGCCTGTCTGGCTTGGGTCTCAACATCCAAGAGACACATCTTATAGCAAAGTGCTTCTGTTTTTACAGACTTGTTGGGCTGCATCCAATCCTCAGTTATCTGGGCCTTAATCAGAGAGTCACCAGAATTTCCAGGCTGTAGCCTGTCATGAGTTTGGATGTTCATTATCCAGGAGTTGATGGCTGTTTTTTAATATACAATATTTGTTTTTCTCTTTCTGACTTACTTCACTCTGTATGACAGTCTCTAGGTCCATCCATGTCTCTACAAATGACCCAATTTCACTCCTTTTTATGGCTGAGTAATATTCCTTTGTATATATGTAGTTTATACTGTGAAGGCTTTCTTTTGAAATAAGTAGTAGGGAGCATTAATTCTTCAGGTTTTTAAACATCTGTAGCTGTACCTTTTACTGATTTGTTGGCAGGAAAAATGTCTAGTACACTAAAGTTAGCACATTTCTGCTAGACATTTATTGTTTGTGTGAACATTTTTTTCATCATCTAAACTTTGATAGGTGTGTATTTCCTTGAATACTAGTGAAATAGAATATCTTCCTGTTTTACTGGTCTTTTTTTCCCTTGTATTATGAAATGACAAAGATAGTGAGAGTTGTCATGTGTTGAATAGTGCTAAGGATCTAGACCCTTGGCTGAATGCTTTAAGCAAGCTGTCACATTTAGTCCTCACAGCAACCCTGTTAGAAAGGTGCTATCACTATCCTTGTTTTAAAGGTGAAGAAAATGAAATGTTTAGGTCCTTTGCTGTCTTAAATTTGTGTAAAGAAAACTTCATACCAGAGGATGCTGCCCTCTGGGATCTTGCTTTTCAGATGGCATTGAAAGGCTATCTGAACACCTGACTATGAAATAAGAATGGACCATTCAAGAGGAGACAAGAGAGCTGAAAGCAAGAGAGCCTGTCCTTTGCGTCCCCCATATTCACAGGGTTTCTTAATTCATTGTAATGTATTCACTTATTTTATTAAAAACTTGACTTTTCTGATGTCCATTAAAACTCTTGAAGTTCTTATGATAAATGCTGGCTAATATGGTATTAGCTATAAGATACTCATCTTGGAATTTGCTTAAAGGGATTTTTTTTCCTGAAAGGATGAGAAGGATAATGCCTCAAACCATCAATCATGAGTCCATAGGATGGACCTCAGTATCATTGGGACTCTTAGATTAGGGATGTTGAAGGACTTGAACTTCATAATGAGGGTATTTTTTTTTAAGTGTTTTTTAGTTTTTACCTTTTTTGACTTATGATTCCTGTGGATTCTCTTTAAGTTACCTTTTATCCCGGTACTAGCTGGTCTTGAAAAACAAAATTCTCTTGAGCATACTTGTTTAACATAAACAGTTCAAAATTGTATTAAACAGTTTAAAATGTGCTGCCTCCATTCTTGGTCTACCCCACATAACTGGCAGCTGGCAGTCTGGTGTGTATATTTCACATTCTTTTCCACTCATGCCCACACACATATCCAAGAGTGTTGTACCATGGACGGTGAGCCACTGCTAGTCCCCACCCCACCTACATAATGTATACCTCACCAGGTTAGTAAATGTATATGGAATTTTTTTATTTTTAAAATTAATTTTAATATCTTGAATAGATAATCTCATGGTTTTAAAAATCATTCTCTCTATATACACCTATTATTTCTGAACTGTTTGAAAGTAAGTTACAGACTTAATGCTCCTTTATTCCTAAATAACTTCAGTGTGTATTTCCTAAAAACAAAAACATTAGGATATTCACATTGATACAATTATTATTGATAATTGGTTGATTTCATTAATTTCAATTTTAAAATAAAACTTAATAATTTTCATTTGAATTTCCTCAATTCCAGTAATGTCCCTTACAGTTAAATAGATAAAGCTTAGTTCCAGGATCCAAATCAATATCACTTAATGCATCTAATTGTTAATGTGTATCTTTTTTTAATTAATTAATTAATTAATTTATTTTTGGCTGCGTCGGGTCTTCGTTGCTGCATGCAGTCTTTCTCTAGTTGCGGCGAACAGGGGCTACTCTTTGTTGTGGTGCGCGGGCTTCTCATCACAGTGGTTTCTCATTGCAGAGCACGGGCTCTAGGTGCACGGGCTTCAGTAGTTGTGGCATGTGGGCTCAGTAGTTGTGGCACGCAGACTCAGTTGTTGTGGTGCACAGGCTTAGCTGCTCCGTGGCATGTGGGATCTTCCTGGACCAGCATTCGAACCCGTGTCCCCTGCATTGGCAGGCGGATTCTTAACCACTGCACCACCAGAGAAGTCCCGTAAATGTGTATCTTTAGTCTCCTTTGATCTGGAACAGTTCCGTAGTGTTGTTTGTCTTTCATTACCTTGACATTTCTGAATAGTATGGGCCAATTTACTTTGTAGTATGTCTCTCAATTTGGTTGTCATACTATAATTTTATCTTGTATTTTTCATTAGTGAGGTTGCATCTCTTTTTCACATGCTTAAGAGCCACTTGTATATCCTTTTCTGTGTACTTTCTTTCATATCTTTTATGCAGTTTTAAGTGTTGGTTCTTGGTCTTTTTACTAATTTCTAGGAGAGCATTGCCATTTTTGATAGGAGTTACAGATGTCACCATTTGGCTTATGATTTTTGCCATGTAGAACTGATAAATTATGTAGTTAAATTAGTCAGTCTTTTATGGATTCTGGATTTTGAGCCATGGTTAGAAGGGCCTTTTTTTATTCTAAATTTATAAGGGAATTCTCTTCTTGTTTTCTGCTAGTACTTTCATGGTTATTTATGTTTAATAAATACCCTGATCTATGTGGAATTACCCTTAAGATATGGCTTCAGCTTTGTTTCCCAGATGGCTACCCAGTACCCTGACCCCATTTATTGAATAATCTCATCTTTTCCTCAACTGATATGAAATACCTTTGTCATATACCAAATCCCCAATGTAATTAGGCCTATTTCAGGGCTTTATATTCTGTTTAGATGTTCTGTCTCTTCAGGCACCAGTACCATATTTTTATTGTAAGCTAATGGTGTTTTATATCTTTTAGGACTAGTTTCTCCATGTTGCTCTTTTTTAGAATTTTTCTAATCATATTTATGAGCTGTAGAATCAGCTTGTCTAATCACCCTCATCATCCCCCGACAACCCCAAAAATACCTATTGATATTTTTATTGGGATTGCATAGATTTAGTAATTCGCTTAGAGAAAATTGGCATCTATATGATGCTTAGTCTTCATGTTTAAGACTGTGATAAGTGTTTCTGTTTGTTCTGTTCTTCTTTTGTATCTTTTAGGAGGGGTTTTGAAGTTTTCTTCTTTTATGTCTTTCATATTTCACAAGTTTATTGATAGGTAGTTTATCTTTCTAATGTCTATTGGTAATCAAACTTGTTTGTCCATTATATCTACAAACCTTGTAATTGTTGATGACTATGTATTGGTTTTATATTCCATTACTTTACTGAATATCTTGTTTTCACTACATTACTCAGATTTTCGAAGTATACATTCATGTCATTTGCAAATAGTGATGTTTACTTTGCCTTATCTAATTTTTATTCTTGTAATTTCACTTTCTTATCTAGAATAAGAAAACGAACTTTCTTTACTAGAGGTATCTAGCATTGGCTAGTACCTTCAGTAAAAGTAATGGGGGTGATAGTGGACATCCTTGACTTTGGTGGTTATAGTTTCTCTATTATGATAGTGGTTTT